GGAATGAGGATTAGATTAACCTCAGTCATGCATCCTTGCAACTGCACAATTTTAATTCATTTTCAAGTATCATGTATTTATTCTTTGACTTATAATCACTGCAATTGAAACCACTTTTAACTTTAGCAAACAATTACCTATACGTAGGTACACAAATTATGCGATCAAGGGGTCTACTTGAAATTAGTTTAGATAATCGTCACTAATGTGGCATAACGCATGCTGCAAACCATCTCTGGGACATGGTTTGCATCGAAGTAGGCCAGATTGACTACGTATGTTTCCTGTAAATAATCATTACCACAAGAGACACTAAAACCAAAGAGTATACAATTGCAAGAGGTCCGACTCTTGGGATTTCGTTGCAATGATGTTTCAAAAAAAGTACTACGATGAAATAAAAGAAGGTAAAAGGCGTTCGTAAATAGGGTGCCCCCTATCTCGTGGTTGTACATTCTTAAAATTTCAAATTATGCGATCAAGGGGTCTACTTGACCTTAGTTTAGATAATCATACCTTAATACATAATGATAGGTATAATGTTTAGGTATCTAAAACTGTATTATTTTTGTTTCAGATGTTACAACTGAAGCGATTTCTGAAACGACAGGTCAGTTTTAATATATAGCTCAAATTTAAATTTGTTTACATTTACGTTTAACCTCTGCAACACTTTTGCTTTTTATTATTCAAATGTTTAATTGCCTGTAATGATTATTATATTATTTTTCAGGAGATTTTACAAGGAAGCCACCTTCCGAATCTGGTTAGAATCTTTGATTTTCTTGTTTACATCTTGAGTAATACCCGATTCACACAACAGAAATGTACTAAATCATGCCTTAATACATAATGATAGGTATAATGTTTAGGTATCTAAAACTGTATTATTTTTGTTTCAGATGTTACAACTGAAGCGATTTCTGAAACGACAGGTCAGTTTTAATATATACAGTAGCTCAAATTTTAATATTGTTTATATTTTGTTTGACTTTGTACTTAAGCATAAAGTATTTATGCATATTGTATGAGTATTGTGTTTTGTACATCCTGTAATGAACTTCTAATAACCTCTGCATCATTTTTGCTTTTTATTATTCAAATGCTCAATTGTCTGTAATGATTATTATATTATTTTTCAGAAGATTTTACAAAGAAACCACCTTCCGAGTCTGGTTAGTATCTTTGATTTTCTTGTTTACATCATGAGTAATACACAATTCACACAACAGAAATGTACTAAATACCCTTAATATTAAAAGGAATATCATTTCCCTACAGATATTTGTCGCTTTCACACGACTGAATACAAACCTTACTTAAAATCGTTACTACTAGTGAGTAGTCATATATTACTGGCCCCTCGTACTACTGAATGTTCAGCTTTTTTTTATATACCGTTACAATATTATTTATACAAACAACTGAGATAAAAACATCATTATACAGTAAACGTAAAAAAACTTCAACATTTTTACAATCTATGGATGCATGGATTTATTCGGTGTAAACACCAAGGAAGGATAACCCACAGAAGTCTGAAGAATTTCCAGTGGGGTCCTTCTGGTGGTGATTGGGCAGTACACCGGGAGACAATCCCCTACTGCATTGCACTGTACTGCATTCTTTAACATGCACATGTGCCACAATGACCGACAGCTTAAACAGCTCATCTGAAAGACGGTGCACTATTGAAACTGGCATCTAGCTCTCCAGCAGTGATGGGAATCCATGGTTCAGCGAACACACAGTGGCTACCACCAGTTTAGCTGACTGAGCTAAGCTGCTCTCTATTGTATTTTAGGGGATGATCATTGAAACTGTCACTCATTTTTATTCTTTTTCATCAGATACTAGAACCATATTGATTGTGGTTGGTGTTTTCATATCGGTGTCTGTAATCTTCTTAATATTGACTGCTGTGACCTGCGGTATATTACATCACAGAAGGCGCAGTTATTTTGATGCCTCGATAAAATCCACCAACAAACCATATGGCAACAAGATAGCTCGAAATCCATTGCATTCTGGGAACCGCTACTTTAACGAGATTAGTAGTGCTGATTCAATTATTTCAGATGATAGCATAATGGACCAAATGTCCTATAATCTGGGACGTGCTCGGAGACCTGTAAGTATAATAATTCCAACCATAATTTAATAACGTCATTAGGCCTACATTTTGACATTAATTTTAACCTGAAACAACAAATTTTACATCAGTTTTAAGATAATATTCAATAGTGATATGAAATCATGTTACATGATAGACAGAGAGGCAAGGGTAAAAATAACACTGTCCAGATTATCAAATGTTATTCGACAAAAGCATTTGACATGCCTAAATATTCATGAAAAGAAAAAAAAAAAAATATAATCATAATAAAAGAAAAAAACCTGATATTTTGGACAGGGCTTCAGTGTAATTATAAAAGCTGGTGTGATTATCTTTTCTTTTTAATCTCTTATCATATAGAATTCTGATGAGTTTATGCGACCCTTTGTGGCCACTGGGAGTGAAGGATCAACAGTAAGAATTCTAAAGTTTTTTTTTTTTTACAGTGGCTATATTGTTGTTTTTGTCACTTATTTGTAACTATTACTTATACCAGTTTGATACCAATTCATAATAGACCTTTCCGCTAAGCCCCGTTCCCGTTAAGTTTGACTGACATTCCGGTAATGTCCATTCTGACTGGATGTTGTTGTTCCTCTTCAATTTATACCACATACAATAACATCTCTTCATAATTAGGAATTAACAAGCCACTGCTTTTCTTTCTGATTCACTCCTTATAAAAATGTATACTGAACAACATGTTTACATTTTATTCGGAAACAGGACTCGATTACTGCTTCCTACTTGACGTATTTCCGAGCACAATGTAGTAACACAACTCTCAAATAAACTTTTATTTTATGTAAACTCCCAACAAGAATCTGGTCTCAAAAACAACACCAATAACATTCAAATTAACATTAGTTTCAAAAAAAGTGCTCCAGAAAAAAAAACCTTTCATCTTATATACATGAATTCTAGAATTCCAGAGCATTCTATTATTTCCTAAGTTCCTCTTTAGTCACATATACATTATAATTAACCAATAGTCTGCTTGCTCCTACAGAACTTCAGTATCTAGAACCTTCTAAACATTTCTCTTGGATTCCACATGGTCTCTTGTGTTTCTATTACCAATGTGGTTTACAGTGTTTGGTCAAATAAATGTTATTCTAGAATGTTCTGTGTATTAAATATGTTATCACTCAGGCAAGGAATGGTAATTTATTACACTATGGACCAAATGACCCATGCATCTCTTCTAAAGGCCAATTCAGACAGCGCCGTACGACGCAGCCAGACGAGATTGTTGTCGCGTAGGGTCTGTGAGTTAAACCCTGACGCGAAGACTTCCATACAATTTGTTGGCGACTCGATAGCATTTTTATAGAAATGCTTGTTGATTTTTTTTCATTGAAGAGGCCTAGGCTGCGAAGCTAAACTGCCTGTCTACCTAGTACTACTACATACATACCTACCACTGGCAGTTCTACCAAGCTTGCCTAGTCTAGGCCCCTACTTCGAAAACTTTTTTTGAATGCTTGATATTCTCCTGACGAACTAAAGGTCGTTTCCACTAGACAAATTTATTTGCGCAAATCGAAAAATTTCGGCTATATGCATGCAGAGTTTAATTTTCATCTTGAGTTTTGTGCATGCATTTGGGTAAAAATTTTTGATTTCCTCTAATATACTCGGCTAGTGGAAAACTGCCTTTAAGACGGTGCCCGACAATAAACCGTGTCACACTAAATCGTACGAAGCTGTCTAAATTGGACTTAGCTGAAAAATTATTCCACTATGGTTCTAGTGACAATCATACCCGAACCCTCAACTTAATTAATGTATGCATTAAGTGAGAATGTACCATGTTTACAATACACCAAATATCCTGATTTTTTTTTTTAGATAATTACAAAAGTATTAATTATATTTTGCAGGTCTACAACAATTGACACGTAAATAGCGACAATTAAATGAAAATTATTATTAAAAGGTAATTATTTAATTATTCATACTAAAATGTGGATCCATGCATATTTTTACATGCCTAATATGTTGATCAATAAATATATATTTTATTCGTATTATTCATATTATGTTCAAATAAATCTGCATCTATAATATACTGTATATTATTTGTATCTTTGCAGCCTTCATTTCAAATTCAACGTGGCTTATCTTATTCGTGATTCGTTTTAGAGCTTGCACAGTAGTTAAAATTTCATTATTATAATTTAATACAGAAAATAGACACTGATAATATCACTGATAATATATGTTTTTGTTTAAGTAATTATAGGCTCAAAAAAGCTATTAGTACAGTACTTAATGTTGAAATTTTATATTTGAAATAAATAGTGATAAGGTTTGGATAGACATCTGAGATGTATAATAGAATAACAGACATAGCATTACATTTAAGTAATTTGCATAAATACATTGTCAGAATATAAATGCTATTTTACTGATCTCATTAAAAATGCAAAGAAATGTCCAGGTAAGGCTGGGCAAAATTTAGTGTTGTACATGATTTGAAAGAAGATTTGAAAGAATCTCTCCTTATTTTGCTGTTCATAATAACAACTAGTTATTAATACTAGTACAGTAAGCTGTTTGGTTTCCTTGGTTACCAACATATGCATACCCTTGTTATTTTATAATAGTTACCAAGACTTCTGTGTTGGTAATTAATTGTAAAAAATTACAAAATACATCAATAATCATTTGCTGCTGTTTTTACTGAAACAATCATAATTTTATGTTTACAGCTATTCATTCAGATAGAAAGCTGTTCTATTTTAATGTACCCAAATTATACATACGGTTTGTCATTTTTGTAAGTTTGTGTTTATCCTAGTTATTTTAGACTATATCAATGAATTGACACAATATACAGCAGATGCCCTATTTCAATAATTATCTGTAAACCACTTTCATATTGTAATATTTACAAAATCTTCCTATTTATTCTTGACACTACTGAGTGTAAATCGTATCTAAATACAATACTGTATATATACTTTATGAAAACATAGATTTAATAATTAGTACTTGCTACGTGGTTTGAAATAAACATTTATAAGTGCAAAATATCACTTCTTGTTTATCTTTTTTTTACTTTTAAGAAAATCAAAAAAGAACATGATGCTGCCTTCTAGTCTATTTCGTGAATACTTACCTGGATAAACCGATAAATGCCTAAGTTTCCTATGGAACTTACCTCTCGAGCATAAAAGAAAAATAATGGACTCGCCCTGGCTCGCCTATATACGCCTTGCATGTAGATAGTGCAGAAAAATATGATAGAAAAGGAACATGATGCTGCCTTCCAATTTAACAGAGAATGAAAGAAAAATACAATAATTATTATTTAATTCTTAATTATTCCTAATATTATTAAAATACTTACATCTGGAGCAAAACAAAATATTACAAGAAGTCACCCTTACTCAATATAATTTCCTCGTTTCTACTAATGTAACAATATCTTAAGTGCAATATTTTAAAAGTACATGCACACAATTTCAGAATATTTTCAGATGCTTCTTTGTATGAAGCAAGTTCTCGTAACCTCGAAAGCTCCAATGAGGGCAGTATAATAGAGGCAGTAGAGTATATTGGCCCTAACAGATCTATTAATCAATCTGATTAGATTAGTATTTCTAGAGCTCTAACCGGCGCCCATACAAAAAGATATATTATTCAATTGGATTAATCAGCCGAGTGTTTCAGAATTACAAATGTTGTAATAGAGTAGGGAGCTCTCAATAGCACGACGATGGTAGAAGTCATCTGCGTATTCGAGAATGTTGAGTTATCGTTGTCGTCTCTAGATTCTAAGATACAGATCAACTTCAAAAATGGCCATGTGACTCAACATTTCTTGTTTTTATTCATATTTTGTAATTACAAAACTTTTTAGGGATTACAATATGAATATTCAGTAGTTATCTAAGACACCAATTTACAGTGGAAATTAATCAGCAATGAGACAATCACAATAACATGCATAACTTTCTTAGTTACATTATAAATAAATGAAGTAGTAATAGTAGTAATACATAACTGCAGTAAACATGAATATTCAGTAGTTCATTATGACACCAGAGATAGATAGAGGGCGGAATACAAACACCTGCCAATAAATAAATTGCTTTCAAGAATATTCATTAGAGAGTGAAGATATAGTTTAACATTCACAAAAAAACATGGTATCTCAGATTCACTTGATTAGCTCAGTGGTTAGTGCTACAGCTTTAGAGCTGTAGATACCAGGTTCAGGTCTCTAAAAAACTTCTTTTTTTTTAAAAATTAAATAAATTAAACATGTATAGTTAAACATTCACAAACTAACGTAAAAACACTGATATTTAACAGTGAACTTCACTCAGCTATAGGAGAAATCCAGCAATTGCCAAGGCGTTGAAAAGCAAACAAAGTAGAGATGCAATTGAGGGCACTACATAGTAAATATGAATATTTTCACAAAGTTACAGTGAAAATTATTATCAACAATAACATGCACGATCTTTTATATATTTGTACACTATACCAGATTCAGATTTAGATTTAATGATCAATCATATTAAAAAATACATGGAATTTGTTTTCCTGAGTTACACACATAAATTATTCATTAAAATACACGTACAAATACATAAATTCAAACAAAGTATGGATAAAATTGAGGGCAGTACATAGTAAATATGAATATTTATTAGTTAATTAGAAATAGAGGGCGCTACATAGTAAATATGAATAGTTTCACAAAGTTACAGTGAAAATTATTATCAACAATAACATGCATGATTTTTTATATATTTGTATACTATACCAGATTCAGATTTAGATTTAATGATCAATCATATTGAAAAATACATGGAATTTGTTTTCCTGAGTTACACACATAAATTATTCATTAAAATACAAGTACAAGTACATAAATTCAAACAAAGTATGGATACATAGTAAAATGAATATTTGCATAGTAAATATAAATAAACGACACCAGTTTACAGTGGACATAAATCAGCAATAAGACAAATTAACAGTAACTGCAAAACTGGTTTAATTATTTTCTAAATTTAAACAAAATAGTGGTAAAGTAAAATTGAGGGCGCTACATAGTAATTATAAATATTCATTATTAAATTATGACACCCATGTTACAGTGGAAATCGGTGAAAAATAATAAGCAATTGAGGGCGCTATATATTTGGTTATTTATAGCGCCTTTCTTTGCAGATACGAAGCGCTACATAGTAATTATGAATATTCAGTAGTTAATTATGACACCAGTTTACAGTAGAAATTAATCAGCAATAAGATAGTCACAATTAACCTGCACAATTGGTTTGATCATTTAATTAATTTCTAAATTCAAACAAACAGTGGTAACATTGAGGGCGCTACATAGCAAATAATATGAATATTCAGTAGTTATGCCTGATGACTGATGATAATATGACGTTGCAATGTACTGTATATTTATCATTTAATTTAATAATTATAAATATTCATTATTAAATTATAACATCATTTTACAGTGGAAATTAGTAAACAATTGAGGGCGCTATATATTTGGTTATTTATAGTGCCTTTCTTTGCAGATACGAAGCACTACATAGTAATTATGAATATTCAGTAGTTAATTATGACACCAGTTTACAGTGGAATTTATTCAGCCTTAAGACAATCACAAGCACAACCAGTTTCTAGGTTAAATAATATAAATGTTAATTAACAAAATAGTGATAGTGATGATAAAATTGAGGGCGCTACACAAATAACTGCAGTAATCATGAATATTCAGTAGTTAATTATGACGCCAGATAGATAGAGGGCGATATATAAATAGTTTACGTAAATATTCATTAGAGAGCGAAGATGTCGTTTAAAATTCACAAAAAAACATGGTATCACAGATCCACTTGGTTAGCTTAATGGTTAGTGCTGCAGCTCTTAAGTTGTAGATACCAGGTTCAAGTCTCTAAAACACTTTATTTTTTTTTTTTTAAATAATTTTAGGCGTGTATAGCTTAACATTCACAAATTAACATGCACTCTCTGAGACACTAGGTTAGCTAAGTGGTCAGTGCTATGGGTATAGCATTGAGGATACCTGGTTCAAGGCTCAAGAACAATTTTTTTTAAAAAATAAATATTAAGTGCGGTTTAACACTTAGAAATTAACACATTCTTTCAGCGAGACTGTTGGCTTGGAGGTAGACGCACTGCTTCCTAAACTTGGTACATAGGTTCAAGTCTCAGCTCGGACAGGGCGGAACTCTCGGACAGGGAGGCGAACTCGGACAGGGAGGCGAACTCGGAGAGGGAGGGAAACTCGGAGAGGGAGGCAAACTCGGACAGGGAGGCACACTCGGACAGGGAGGCGGACTCGGACAGGGACAAAGAAGGTGACGCGCAAAAAAAAATTTTACGTTTTTTTTTTCTCCCAATTTTTTTGCTTTTTTTTTCCAAATTTAAAAAAAAAAAAAACCTCCCACAGATTTGAACCAGCAACCTTCAGGTCTGTAACCAACCTCACTAACCATTGTACCACAGCGGATCTGAATGAAACTAATTAATTCTAAATGGTAAACCTTACACTACTTAAGACACAAAAATAAAAAAAAAACACTAGAGCTGCTGTTTACAAAGCAAACCTCTGTAAAACAGCAGAATATGTGGTTTTCAGTGCTAAACAATGTAATAACAAATAAAATCACTAAAAAAGAAACAATAAACAGTTTTATTTATGGATTTTATTTTTAAAATGTTAAAAATTTGTCAAGCCCAACAGCATAACCCTATCTCATTGGATCAAAATAAGAGAGATGAGCTATAACATTCAGTATTTTCACATTTGAAAAATTGATTAAAAAAATCTTAGTCAAAACTTGAATTACCGAGAGGTAATGACCTTAAAAGGGTCATCGAGTGAAAAAAGTCACAAAATTATTTAACATATTATTACACCTCATATCGCTAAACAAGGTACAAAAAAGGTCTCGCCTTATGGGCAGGAATTGTTAAACTTTCCTTTTTTGGAAATAGTGAAAATATTATCAAAAGAAGAAACAAAAATAGTCATATATTACAATTTTAAATATTAAACACACTACAAAAATAATAGCAATCTTTTATATATATATTTATACTGAAAATTTTTAGATTTGTTGAACAACCTTATTGTTTTAGTATACTGATTACCGTATTATCAACTAACTTTAGCATGGAAAAGAACATTTAAGGATTATTGTTATAATTAAGTGCAAATAAATATGAAATATAAACTAGCATATTAATATCTTAAGCACCAAAAATATTTTTTTTAATATCTTGCCTCCTTACGTACTGTAACCGTTGACTTTCTTATTGGCCCATGTGCTAACTCTTGTGTTTGGCTGGTTCATAGTGCCCCTAGCCTTGCTATTTTTTTTATTTTTTTTCCTGTGTTTATGTAAATTGTTTTTCCAAACTTTTATTCAATTTTTAATTAATGTGATTTTTATATGCCCTTTTCAATCCTTCCATTTTTTCTTTTAATAGGTTTTAGGCAAAAAAAAATTATTGTGTTGGCCACGCCCAGCCGACCCAAATTTTACGAAATTAAGTGCCAGCATTTTAGTTTTTTTTTATGAGTAAATAAGGCTGGAATAGCCTTGGTGAAGTTAGGAGGCCAAAGCAAGCCTATTTTGCTGGATGGTATGCAATGCAAATCCAAAATTGTTGTATTAATTGTGTATTTTTTAGGTCTAACCACATATTTGGTTGTAAAAAAAAAAAAAAATTTTCCTACCGAATTACATATTTTTTGGATTTTCTCACACAAAAAAAAAAAATTTTTTTTTGGCCTTATTTCTGGTGCTGTGCTTTTTATCCACTGTTACTTTTTTACGTCTTACTAACACTGTTATTGCGATTTCATATGATAGTTATAATTAAATTTTTATATTTGTTGAACAACCTTATTGTTTTAGTATACTGATTACCGTATTATCATGGAAAAGAACATTTAAGAAATATTGTTATAATCAAGTGCAAATAAATATGAAATATAAATTAACATATTAATATCTTAAGCTCCAAAAATATTTTTTTAATATCTTGCCTGCTTACGTACTGTAACCATTGACTTTCTTATTGGCCCATTGACCATTGACCATGCTCAATCTTTTTTTTTCCACTGGTCCACACATTTTTTGGATTTTCTCACACAAAAATTTTTTTGTTTTTGGCCTTATTTCTGGTGCTGTGGTTTTTATCCATTGTTACTTGCTCTTTATTCTTGTTTTTATGTTTGTGTTGTGAATTTCTTGAATTTTGCCATATTCTGTTTTTTTTTAAAGGCAATAATTGTAATACATTCATATATGTTAATATTTATATCTTAAGCACCAAAATATATTTTTTTAATATCTTGCCTGCTTAAGTACTGTAACCATGGACTTTCTTACTGGCTCATGTGCTAACTCTTGCGTTTGGCTGACTCACAGTCCCCCTAGCTTGATATTTTTTACTGGTTTTCCTGTGTTTATGTAAATTGTTTTTTTCAAACTTTTATTCAATTTTTAATAAATGTGTATTTTATATGCCCTTTTCATTTCTTCCATTATTTCTTTTTATTGTGTTGGCACGCCCGGCCGACCCAAATTTTAAGAAATTAAGTGTCAGCATTTTAGTTTTTGTTTTTTTTGACAATAAACAATATTATTTTATGAGCAAATAAGGCTGGAATAGCCTTGGAGAGGTTAGGGGGCAAAGGCTACCCTATTTTGCTGGATGGTATGCGATTCGAATCGAAATGTTGCATTATTTGTGTATTTCCTACTTTTAAGGCATAAACACATATTTGGTTGTTAAAAAAAAAAAAGTTTTCCTACCGACCTACACATTTTTTGGATTTTCTCAAAACGTGGCCAACACAAAAATTTGGGGGTTTTTTTGGCCTTATCTCTGGTGCTGTGCTTTTTATCCATTGTTACTTGCTCTTTTACGTCTTGTTTTTATGTTTGTGTTGTGAATTTCTTGAATTTTGCCGTATTCTGTTTTTTTAAAAGCAATAATTGTAATACATTCATATATGTCAGCCTTTTTGCTGTCTGTTTGCATTTCTACATATTTTTTTGAATGCATGAATAAAGACCTTGAATAATTATAATATGGCTTTAATAATCTAAATTTAAAGAACAATATTAAATAACAAGTATTATTATTTTAGATTAATAACTATGAATAAATTACATACCTTGAAAAAACACTGCAATAATGAAAAGAAAAAGAGAATTCCAGTAGCACCAAGGTTTTACGTCAACCAAGTTAATAAATACCTGCAAGGACAGAAAGCATTTATAAGGTTATTATAAGCTTCATCGGTTGACAATGTCATTTTATTCTTTATTCTGTTCAAATTCACTTACGAAATACTCTATATGAAAACTCTATATGAACGCTCTATATGAACACTCTATATGAACACTGTATATGAACACTCTTTACGAACACTCTTTACTCCCCACCACCCTTAATTTCCACAAAAAACACTCCTTTCCACTTTGTGCAGCAAAATACAATTAAATGTGTTAGGAGCGAGGAATCTTTCCAAACTTCCACGAGGAGGGGGGAGTGGAGCCTGACTACTCACTGTAATTAATTACTGATTTTGGGGTACCATTTGGGACCCCAATGGAAAAAACAAAAACAGCACGATTCTTCAAATACCATGTGGAAGCCCAATATAAAAAAAGCATGATTCAGCTCGGCTCACAACTTAAGAACTAGTTTGATGTCCAGTGCATAAAAAAAAAGAATGATTAAGAGCGGTTCACAACTTAACAAATGGTTCCATGACCAGTGTAGAAAAAAAAAATGCTATTAAGTGCGGTTCACCACTTAACGAATGGCTCAATGAGTGTAGAAAATAAAATGTTATCAAGCGCGGTTCACAAAAACGAATGGTTCAATGACAGTGCAGAAAAAAAAATCCGATTGAACACACTTCACAACTTGTCTCTTATACACATCTCACTACATAGTAATTATGAATATTCAGTAGTTAATTATGACACCAGTTTACAGTGGAAGGCAAAATTCAAGAAATTCACAACACAAACATAAAAACAAGACGTTAAAGAGCAAGTAACAATGGATAAAAAGCACAGCACCAGAAATAAGGCCAAAAACAAAAAAATTTTTGTGTGAGAAAATCCAAAAAATGTGTGGACCAGTGGAAAAAAAAAGATTGAGCATGGTCAATGGTCAATGGGCCAATAAGAAAGTCAATGGTTACAGTACGTAAGCAGGCAAGATATTAAAAAAATATATTTTGGTGCTTAAGATATAAATATTAACATATATGAATGTATTACAATTATTGCCTTTAAAAAAAAACAGAATATGGCAAAATTCAAGAAATTCACAACACAAACATAAAAACAAGAATAAAGAGCAAGTAACAATGGATAAAAACCACAGCACCAGAAATAAGGCCAAAAACAAAAAAATTTTTGTGTGAGAAAATCCAAAAAATGTGTGGACCAGTGGAAAAAAAAAGATTGAGCATGGTCAATGGTCAATGGCTGTCTCTTATACACATCTAGATGTGTATAAGAGACAGCTCTATATGAACACTGTATATGAACACTCTTCTATATGAGCGCACGCTCCCCACCACCCTTAATTTCCACAAAAAAACACTCCTTTCCACTTTGTGCAGCAAAATACAATTAAATGTATTAGGAGCGAGGAATCTTTCCAAACTTCCACGAGGAGGGGGGAGTGGAGCCTGACTACTCACTGTAATTAATTACTGATTTTGGGGTCCATTTGGGACCCCAATGGAAAAAACAAAAACAGCACGATTCTTCAAATACCATGTGGAAGCCCAATATAAAAAAAGCATGATTCAGCTCGGCTCACAACTTAAGAACTAGTTTGATGTCCAGTGCATAAAAAAAAAAAATGATTAAGAGCGGTTCACAACTTAACAAATGGTTCCATGACCAGTGTAGAAAAAAAAAATGCTATTAAGTGCGGTTCACCACTTAACGAATGGTTCAATGAGTGTAGAAAAAAAAATGCTATCAAGCACGGTTCACAAAATGAATGGTTCAATGACAGTGCAGAAAAAAAAATTCGATTGAACACACTTCACAACTTGGCATGGTTCATTGACAAGTGCAGAAAAATAAAACATGATTGAGCTTGGCTCACAATATGGTTCAATGGCAAGTGCAAAAAAAATGTGATTGAGCGGCTCACAACTTAAGGAATGGTTCAAAAACCAATGCAAAATAAAAAAACAATTGAGCATGGCTCAAAACTAAAAGATGACCAGTGCAGAAAAAAAAAGTACAGTACAATTGAGTTTGTAACTCAGGCCAGGGGGAGAAAAAAACAGCGTGTTCAAAGTACCATGTGGATGCCCAATAGAAAAAAAGCATGATTGAGCGCAGCTCACAAGTTAAGAAATAGCTTGATGTCCAGTGCAGAAAAAAAAAGTATGATTGAGTGCGGTTAACAATGTAAGGAATGGTTCAATGATCAGTGCAGAAAAAAAATCAGGATTGAGCATGGCTCACATCTTTGACCAGTGCAGAAAAAAAAGGATGATTAAGCGCATGTTTCAATGACCAGTGCAGAAAAAAAAAACATGTCTGAGAATAGCGTCACTGACAATTCTCTCCAAGCTTCTCCAAATGGGGAGCCTGACGGGGGAGGGGCTATATCTCATAGCCCGTGGGGGGGGGGGGGGGGGGAATTATATGTATTTTCTACATAATTATTAGTAAACTCTAAAATTGATTAAATAAGGCTTTGAAACCCCTAAATTGTCAAAATTTTCTTGGGTTTCACCCCCCTGACCACTTCGAAACCTTTAAATCGAAGCTCGACCAAGCCAACTTTGCTTTCGTTGGGGAAATCGCCCACCCACCCCCCATCAGGCAAATCGGCCTCCTGGTCGGGCAAATCCTCCGCTGGTGCCACCCCTGACCTATTCACTATAATAATTAATACTGAATTGCTTCGAAGATAAAAAAAAAGCGTGATTGAGCGCGGCTCACAACCTAAGGAATGGTTAGATGAAGTGCAAAAAAAAAAGCATGATTGAGCGTGGCTGACAACTTAAGGAAAGGTTAGATGACAAGTGCAGAAAAAAAAAACGATTAGGCGTGGCTTGGTCCTATACTGGTTCGAAGACCAGTACAGAAGGAAAAAACGCAGCGCAATTGGTTTGCATGTTTCATTTACTTTGCCATACAAATTTTTTGTTTTGTCCATTTCTTAAATAAACAACAAACAAACAAATTGTAAATACTGTATGTTTTGAAATGATAATATTTTTTTTTTAATGAAATGTTTGAAATCAGAAGCTACCAAATACACTACTGTAGAAATAAATATCTAGGGCAGGGCAGCACTGGAGAGACAATGACAATCATAATATGATTGTCAACATATGTTGACAATCATATTATGATTGTCAACATTATCATATGTTGACAATCATGATTGTCATTTTTTATTGATTGATTTTTATTATTATAATAGGCCTTTTTCACGAATCGGTAGACATTTTGAAGTGATGACAAACATTGCGAATCAGCGGTGCATAACCAACAGAAATAAGATAAGCTTTTGGGCTGATTTTCTGACATCATGTTATTTAAAAAATCATAACTCCATAACGGGGTGTCGTATCCAAAAAAATTTTCCAGGAAAATGTTCTTAAAAGACCATATAAAGAGGTATAGTATAGTAAATCATGTTTTAACACAGGAAACTCTCATATGGTAACTAAAACAATGCTAGTTCAGAGTATTACTAGTACTACAGCACTGTAATGCATATCCTATTTTAATACACTACTGAGATAGGCTTTTATTTTTCAATCTTGATTTTAGAGGTCCAAAAAATTATTCCATTTTTTTTCAAACATATAGTGGTGTAGACTAGTCTTTTAAGAACATTTCGCTGGAAAACATTTTTGGATACGACGCCCCGTTATGGAGTTATGATTTTTTAAATAACATGATGTCAGAAAATCAGCCCAAAAGCTTATCATATTTCTGTTGGTTACGCACCGCGCTGATTCGTAATGTTTGTCATCACTTCATGATGTCTACCGATTCGTGAAAAAGGCCTATTAAAGTATGTTCCACACCCTAAAAACCCACCCCTCTCCTCTGTAGAATAGGACCAGTTTTCTGTTGGCCATCAACATCTAAAACATCCCTGAACAGTTTCAATGGTAAGAAATTTCCAATTTCACTAGGCGTCAGGGGTTAGAAGCCCAACAAACACTAGAAAGTACGCTCACTGCAGCAAACAGCCCATAAGACGTCGCAAGGAAGTATACTCGACGCCTAGGCCTAGTTACACTTACTTGCGCCGTTATCAATAGTCCTACTACTAAAATTATAAAACCTTGCAAATATATATACATTGTACAGTGAGTATTTAGAGGCACAGTATTATCGCTTTACAAAATACGGAACTTACATTATATTGTGATGTATTGCACGCTTCTGCCTTTCCTCCCGCACATGTGGTTTTGTTTATTGTTTTGTTTTGATGATAGCGCCGCCAACGAAAAATCACAGTTTCACACGAATAATACTGTGTAATATGGATAGCGTACTTTTTTTTCAAAATAAAAAGAAAAAGACGTTTGTTCTCTAGAGAGTAGAACACGTTAACTACATCGCTAACCATTGCGCTACTGTACGAGTGAACTTCAAGAACGTGTTAAATTTGGCAATCTTTAACTATAATCCTTTACACTTAATACAAAAATAATTTATATAAAATGTATTCATATTAAGTATTCATATAACAAATTTTATTTTGACTGTTTATACTTGCAACGATAACAATAACGATAATAAGCTAAAAAGCAATTGTTCATATCAAAAATAAAAGAAATAAGAGACACTAAATTGACATCATAATCATGGGAAAACGATACAATAACCATTTTTCAATGACTATGACGTCATTTGAATTGATTTGAAGTTTTTAAGCATACTTATTTTTCAAGAAGTATTAAAAAAAAAAAAAACGAAACACGCTTGTTCTCTAGAGAGTTGAACCCGGTAAGTCTAACATTAAGTTTCACAGCGCTAACCATTACACCATGTACGAGTGAACTTAAAAAACTTCTGAATTTGGCAATGTTAAACTATATACCCTAAATCAATAAACGAAAAAAACATTACCAAAAATATAATTCTTAGGACTTGACCCCGGTAAATAAAAAGCTAAGTTCATAAACATTTATATTTATCTAAGATAAATATTTAAACAATATCAAATTATTATACAAAACTCCTTTTCATTACATTAACTGGGGTTGAGGTAGTATGGTGTTAATTCGAACCAATTTTTTCTGCTAACGTTAGTTAAATAGGCAAGTGGCGCTGCTTGACGATAAGCATTTTGCTTAGCAAATTTCCAGTGGGGGCGCGCTCGTTTTTTTATCTGGGTGGTACCACCTATACGCCACTGAACCAAAAATAAAAGCTAATTTTAGGCAGCAATTTTAAATCGTTATCGAATCGTCCTAATGTAAAACTTCTCTTATTTCTATTATTTTCTATAAGAACAATCATTTTCTAGTTTCGTATCGTTATCGTTATCGGTGCAAGTACAATAATTTAGCGTACCCGCCGACGCAAATAAATGGAAATTGAAAAAAAATATTTTTAAAAATTCGGGGGCCCTTCCATGGCTCCCCCAGGCACCGCTGGCACTACCCATGCTTTAAAATAGATGAATATTGTTATTTTGCTTCTTTAATTAGGGAGGGAGTTCTTTTAATTAGAAACGGGTACCAGCAGACAAATATAATAACAACAAAGTTTACAACATTTTGACGCTGTGAACGTTGTTGGTTGGTTATGTCAGCAATGTTCCTTAATTAATTACCAATATACATTTTTAATTTAAAAAAAATGTTTACAATTTAAATAATAATAAAAAAAATAAAAATAAAAATAAAAAATTTAAAAAAATCGCGCCGCCGTCGTGTCGTCCCCTCGCGTGTCTGCCCGCGCGCGCCTCTTACCGTCCTACGTCGAACTTAACTACTTTTACCTTTAAACCTCTACCTAACTTAAACCTCTACTTAACTTAAACCTCTACTTAACTTAAACCTCTACTTAACTTAACTAACCCGCTATAGGGTCTAGATTTATAACCGTGCCCTGTCCGATTGCCATGCCGTATGGCGTGCCCTGTCCGAATGCCATCGCGTATGGCGTGCCCTGTCCGTGTCTAGAACCTGTGTCTAGAACTTTGAAACGCATGCCTCTGAACATTGAACTCTCTTTGGTACATGTTGATTAGTAAGTTTTTAAGCATACTTATGCTTAATTTTTTAAGAGTTATTTAAAAAAAAAGAAACACGCTCGTTCTCTAGAGAATTGAACTCGATAACCGTAACATGAAGTTCTACAGCACTAACCACTACACTATCTGTACGACTACGTTAATTTGGCAATGTTAAACTATATATTCTAAATTAATAAAATTTAAAAAAAAAAACATCAAAATGTAATTCTTAGGACTTCACCCCGGTAAATAAAAGCCTAAGTCCATAAACATTTATATTTCTCTAAGATAAATATTTAAACATGAATACTGTAATCAATACTAAAGTTACATACTGTATTTTAACACGGACAAACTGGTGTCCATTAAATTATTATACAAAACTACTTTTCATTATATTATTAACTCTTATAGAAGACAACTAAATTGTATTTTGGGAGGAGACTGTGCTTCCAGGGTGGGGTTGAGTTAGGTGTTTTCTGCGAACGTTAATTAGGCGAGTGGCGCTTCTTGACGATAAGCATTTGCTTAGTAATTTTCAGTGGGGGCGCGCTTGTTTTTGGTCTGGGTGGTACCACCCACTGAACACAATAGAAGCTAATTTTCGGCAGCAATTTTTATATTTTAAAGTTACAAAACCATTTCGGACAGTAGTACCCCGGAGTCTGACGTGGTTTTCAAACCAAGCGTTCCTAAGAGCTTCGGTCAGTGTCTTGTGAGGCTCATGGAGGGTAAAATTTTATGGGATGGCCCAAAATGTAGATCCGCCACTGACAGTGGGGGGATTCAAAAAGCCAGCCGTCCTGTCCCCTCTCAATTTTTCAAAATTTAAAAATTTTAAAATATTATAAAAAGAAAAAAAATGATATTCAAATTGTATGAGGTTGCCAATTCCGGCCATTTGAAGGTTCCATAATCATAAATGGGAAAGGGGACTTCTTCTTGAGTCTCCTCTGTCATTTGCGTCGTTACAATAACATGTGAGTTATTCCGAAAAACGATCTTCAACAAATTCATTGAAATCGAATTCGTGATATTCAGCTAAAAACCAAGTATTTGTGTAAAACAACTGGAAGATTTATTTTGTTTAAAATCTCATACATCACACATAATCACTCTACAGACTGTTTAATGCTAATACAATCGTCAGGAATGAGAGAGTCCAAGGATTGTATGATGAGTATGTGAATGCGGCATGCCATGTGTATATGAAAATAAGTTAATTGTAAGAATTTGCCGCTGTCGCGGCTGCATGTAGACAATAGCTTGGTTCTTTTTGTTTAGTATTATTTGTTTATAGACTGTTTTTTCTGAATATACTGTACTAATGTGAAACTATATATATGCAAATTTGCAATCCAATGTTTGCAATTGTTTCATTTTGTATTTGCTATA